AGAAGGATTTTGAGCTTTATTCGCTTTTTTCAACACACTGCTATTATATTGAACACAACTGTATATATATATTTTGAAATATACTGAATATGGCCAAAATTGTAGCATTTCAAATATATGCCAATATATTTGGGAAGAATATTTTTAAAATATACTTCAAATATATACTTTTCTTCCATGTGGGGTGGTACCGTGATAGGTTGCCACCTGTGCAATAAGTCCATCCGTGACATTTGCTTGCTACTAAATATTCCACGGTCAACTGTAACAGCAATTCAGCCACGAAGTAGTAGGCCACGTAAAATGAGAAAGTAAGGTCAGCGCATGCTGAAGCGCACAGTGAGCAGAAGTCGCCAACTGTCTACAGAGCCAATAGCAAAAGAGCTCCAAACTTCATGTGGCCTCCAGATTAGCACAACAGTGCATAGAGAGCTTCATTGAATGGGTTTCCATGCCAGGCAGGTGCATCCAAGCCTTACATCACCAAGTGCAATGCAAAGCGTTGGATGCAGTGGTGTAAAGCACACCGCCACTGGACTCTAGAGCAGTGGAGACATGTTCTCTGGAGTGACCAATCACGCTTCTTTGTCTGGCAATCTGATGGACGTGTTTGGGTTTAGCGGTTGCCAGGAGAACGGTACTTGCCTGACTGCATTGTGCCAAGTGTAAAGTTTGGTGGAGGGGGGATCATGGTGTGTGGGGGTGTTTTTCAGGGGTTGGGCTTGGACCCTTAGTTCCAGTGAAGGGAACTCTTACATCACATGAAAATTGTCCATTTCTGTGACCCACTAATGGTGTGAAATTTGAATGAAAATTCTTAGAAACATTTTTTGGAATTCAACCCATGTATGGCCGGTTTTAGTCTCATATCGAAAACAAGAGGGTTACTAAAATTACAAAAGTTATCGAAAGACAGAATTGGAGCACGTGTGATCTTGGTCTTGGTCCCGTCATACAAATACTGTACTAATTACAAAAAAATAGTTCATTCTGTTATTTTACTAGAAACATTTTTGTCCCTTCCAATAATTTTGCATTATCAGATGATCACCCTGAAGGCTGTTTTTGTCCAATTTTCCCATTGTGTGTACGGGGCACTATGCAGGCCATACATGGGTCGAATTTTGAACAAATATTTTTTAGAAAATCAGAAATTTTGTGCGTTTTGAAATTTCCCATTTTCTAAAGAAAATTATTTCAGAATTCGACCCATGTATGGCCTGCATAACATTAAAAAGAAAAAAAAAAAGAGGACAACCATCCGTTCAGTGTTCTCATTGTGTGTACGGGGCATTATGCAGGCCACACATGGGTCGAATTTTGTGCATTTTTATAATCCGATGGTGCCACCATTGATTTTGAAAATTCAACCAACCAACCAAGACTGCAATTTCACCTTGTTGGTACACAAAAGAATTTTCGTGGCAAAGAATTTTCTTTTCTTTCCAGGTCACAGCTCATGCTCCTTTCTTTTTTGTTTATTTCTCACACGATTCTCCCATCAATGATTCAAAATCCGTTCATTTTTCAAAAAATTTCCAACATGCCCTATCACTCAAATTCGCAGGTCACACCAAAATCATCCGTTTCTGACACATTAATGGTGCGAAATTCGAAACGAAAATTCTTAGAAAAGATTTTCGAAAGAAAATTCTTTTGGAATTCGACCCGTGTATGGCTGGCTTTATGCAGGCCACACAAGGGTCGAATACCGAAGGATTTTCGAAATAATTATTTCGGAAAATTCTACCTGTGTATGGCCAGCTTTATGCAGGCTGTACAAAGGTTGAATTCAGGAGGAATTTTCTTTAGAAAATCAGGAAAATTCGTGCATTTTTGTAATCCGATGGTGCCACCATTGATTTTGAAATGTAACCAACCAAGTCTTCAATTTCATCTCATTTTGCTACAGAAAAGAATTTTTGTGGCCACTAATTTTTCTTTTCTTTCCAGGTCACAGCTCATTTATTTTTCATTTATATTTCTCACACGATTCTCCTGTCATTGATTCAAAATTTGTTCGTTATTCAAAAAATTTCCAACATGCCCGATAACTCAAATTCGATGGTCATACAAAAATCGTCCATTTCTGTGACCCACTAATGGTGAGAAATTCGAACGAAAATTCTTAGAAATGATTTTCGAAAGAAAATTATTTTAGAATTCGACCCATGTATGGCTGGCTTTATACAGGTCATACAAGGGGCGAATACCGAAGGAACTTTCTTTAGAAAATGGTAAATTTGTGCATTTTGTAACCCGATAGTCCCACGATTTCAAAATTCGACCAACCAAGCCTTCAATTTCATCTCATGTTGCTACAGAAAAGAATTTTTGTTGCCAAGAATTTTCTTTTCTTTCCAGGTCACAGCTCATGCTCATTTCTTTTTTGTTTATATTTCCTGCACAATTCTCCCATGGTTGATTTGAAATTCGTTCGTTTTTTTTTAAAAAATTTCCAACATGCCTGATCACTCAAATTCGATGGTCGCACAAAAATCGGCCATTTCTGTGGCCCACTAACGGTACGAAATTCGAACAAAAATTCTCAGAAAAGATTTTCAAAAGAAAATTGTTTTTGGAATTCAACCGGCTTTAGACTAGGTTCACACGATAGTGGGTGGTTGCAGGTGCGGAAAACACTTCCCGCAACCACCACGCCATGTTCTTAATGGCACACCCACGCATCTAATGAAGCAGTCTCCCAGCCAACGCGGTTCAAAAATGCAACAGGAACCTCTATTCCAACATGGAACACCGGTAGCCTATTCAGCCCATCAAATTCGATGGTCACATGAAAATCGTTTGTTTCTGTGACCCACTAATGATGCGAAATTCGAACAAAAATTCTTAGAAAAGGTTTTCAAAAGCAAATTCTTTCAGAATTGGACCTGTGTAGGGCTGGCTTTATGCAGGCCATAGATGGGTAGAAAACCGGCCATTTTTAAAAAATAAAAACGAAAAATCGGTCTACGGCCGGCATTTAATTACTTCTGTCCCTTGCAGAGAGCTCCGCTATTATATTTGACATGAAAAAGTATTGCGGTTGCAACAATGTATCCATTTCGGATACAGATGGTTTTATTTGGATACAAATAGATACATTGTTGCAACCGCTATACTTTTCATGTAAAATATAATAGCGGACTGGAATTCTTCTTTTCCGTCTTCTTTTTCTAATGTAGGCCATAGACAGGTCAAAAACCGGCCGTTTTTTAACAAACGAAAAATCGGCCGGTCCAGTCGTTACCACAAACGGTAAAAAAAAAAAATCGGACGATTTTCGTCCCATCTACGGCCGACATTTAATTACTTCTGTCCCTTGCAGAGAGCTCCGCTATTATATTTGACATGAAAAAGTATTGCGGTTGCAACAATGTATCCATTTCAGATACAGATGGTTTTATTCGGATACAAATAGATACATTGTTGCAACCGCAATACTTTTTCATGTCAAATATAATAGCGGACTAGAATTCTTTTTCTTGCAGGTCACGGCTCATGCGCAGATTTTTTTATCGGTAAAAAGATCAGCCGATTTGCCCATCATTGCCGCGAAAATCGGTCGATTGGCAAAATCGGCCGATTTGTTTCTAACTTTACCGATCAAAAAAATGTGCCAAAATCCAGAAAAACGGCCAACCAATTAACGGTGCGAAAATCGGCCGATTTTTTTTTTTCCGCCGAAAAATCAGCTGATTTCTGACCCATCTATGGCCTACATAATTCTTCTTTTTTTTCTTCTTGTAGGTCACGGCTCATGTATAGATTTTTTATTGGTAAAAAGATCAACCAATTTGCTCATCATTGCCGTGAAAATCGATCGGCAAAATTGGCTGATTTGTTTCCAACTTTACCGATAAAAAAAAAAAAAAAAGTGCCAAAACCCAGAAAAAACGGCCACTAATGCAGGCCATAGATGGGTCGAAAATCGGCTGATTTTTTCTTTAAAAAAAACCCCCCAAAAAATCGGTCGTTCAAGCGGCCGACATAACCAGGAACGGTAAAAAAAAATCGGCCGATTTTTCATCCCGGCAAAAAGTGTCCCTGCAGAGAGCTCCGCTATTTCTTTGACAGTTCTTTGACATTTATAGCGGTTGCAACAATGTATCTATTTGTATCCATTTCGGATACAGATGTTTTTATTCGGATACAAATAGATGCAATGTTGTAACCGCTATAAATGTCAAGGAACTGTCAAAGAAATAGCGGAGCTCTCTGCAGGGACACTTTTTGCTGGACTGGAATTCCTCTTCTTCTTCATCCTCTTCTTCTTCCGCCTCTTCTTCATCCTTCTTCTTCTTCATCCTCTTCTTCTTCTGCTTCATCCTTCTTCTTCTTCATCCTCTTCTTCTTCTGCTTCTTCAGCCTCTTCTTTTTCTTCTTCTTTTTGTCTTCCTCTTGCAGGTCACTGCTCATGCGCAGATTTTTTTATCGGTAAAAAGATCGGCAGATTTGCCCATAATTGCTGCGAAAATCGGCCGATTGGTAAAATCGGCCGATTTTTTTCCAACTTTACCAATAAAAAAAATCTGCCAAAATACCGAAAAACGGCAAAACAATTAGCCCACTAACGATCCGAAAATCGGCTGATTTTTTATTTTCGGCCAATTTTCGACCCATCTATGGCCTGCATTACGGTGCGAAAATCGGCCGATTTATCTTTCAGCTCAAAAATCGGCTGATTTTCAACCCGTCTATGGCCTGCATTACTGTATGAAATGGACATACAGCATAACGAGGCCTTCCTGCACAGAACACAACTGTACACAACGCAGTTTTCTGGGTCGCTCAGCTCGGCCTCCATTCACCAAGAAGATCGATCATCTTCGCCCCGCCCACACAGCTCTCCGTGTACCGAGGAGTGTGATAAGGAAGGAGATAACAGTTGCCATGGGAACCACTAATCCCGGAGTAATTCTCCAACCCTGGAATGCCTAGTTCCCCGTCCAGGGCTGTGATTGGTTGAGCTGAGGAGCAGAGATTTAGGCCGAGCCTCCCGTCACTTCCGGTCCACACAGAGCTGGGAGAGGTGTCGGTGCAGAGCTCTATCCTCCCATCCCAGGAAGCAGATTCGCCGTGTCGTAGAGGCTCTCAGGTATGGTGAGAGGAGCGCTCCGTCCATTCCTCCTCCCGGTGTACACAGCTGGATAGTCCGCGTATAGAGAGCGCCCTGACCTCCGAGTCTGTTGTCATGTTCTCCGGTGTGTGGCCGGGGACTGACCGCCCCAGGCTGGAATCTGGTTCTCAGGATGGATGTCTTCCCTTATTGGTCCCCCCCTCAGGGGTGGTGGGCTCCGGGCTCTCCTCTGCCCCCCAGCTTTGTTCTGTGCAATGACAGCTCAGCTGTGCTGGAGGGTTATACCCTGGAAGAGCCCATTGTCACCTTCCATGGGGGAGGGCAGGGGCATCAGGGTTTGTTTACATTTGTGGTTGGGGGATGGTAAGATTGGCAAATGTACCATCCCATATAACTGCTTGCCTACCAGGCAATTTTTATTTTTTGCACGTTAACCACTCGCCCTCTGGAGGATTTACCTCCCCCTTCCTGACCAGGCCATTTTTTTTTTTTTGCGATACAGCGCTGCGTTATTTAACTGACAATTGTGCGGTCATGTAACTCTGCACCCAAATTACATTTATGCTTTTTTTCCCCACAAATAGAGCTTTCTTTCTATGGTATTTGATTGCTTCTGCTGTTTTTATTTTTTGCACTATAAACAAAAAAAAGACTGACAATTTTGAAAAAAAAAACTATTTTTGACTTTTTGCTATAAAAAAAAAAAAAAAAATCGAATTTAGTCATTAATTTAAGCCAAAATGTATTCTGCGACGTCTTTGCTGAAAAACTCCCAATATGTGTAAATGAATTGGTTTACGTGAAAGTTATAGCGTTTACCAATGGCGGTATAGATACTATAATTTTTTTATTCTAGTAATAGCGGTGATCAGCCACTTATAGCGGGACTGTGGCGGGCATTCTGACACTGGTTGGGAACCTACTAACTAATAAAAAGCACTGACACTGTACTAATGGAACTGGGCAGGAAGGGATTAACATGAGGGGCAATCAAAGGGTTAACTATGTGCTGTGTTTGTTTTATTTGGGAGACGTGCTGTGCAGAGAGATACAAAGCAGCATGTCCATACTGATAGGAGAGAGATCTGTGTTGTTTACACACAAGTCTCTCTCCTGCCAGCTTTCCCCGATGATTACTGGGTGCCAGCGGGGAATTGCCAACTGGGACTTGGTGATTGACATCCCCAGCCGCCAATGGTGGAGCAGGTACGGTGGCCCGCCTGCTACCCGGAAATGCAAATCACATATATACTTGACTTTGCGCTGCCCTGCCACTCTGTAGCAGTACTTCTACTATAGGGCGGTGGTCAAGCTGTTAAAAATCAATGACAGCGGCCCTTTACCATGTGATCAGCAGTGTTCAATCACATGTAAGCATACTTAACAGTTATCGGCATTTCCTTTTCTCAGCGCTGTTTCTGTAGCCGATACCCGGCAAGGCTGACAAGACACATATACACTAATCACCAGGGCACTGAATGCTGCCTATCAGTGAGGAAGAAAAATTACTTTGTTGCAGAAACTAATGTAGGCTATAGATGGGTCGAAAACCGTCCGTTTTTTAAAAAAAAAAAAAATGAAAAATTGGTCGTTCAATAGGCCTACGTTACCATCAATGGTAAAAAAAAATTGGCCGATTTTTCATCCCGTCTTTGGCCGGCATTTAATTATTTCTGTCCCTGCAGAGAGCTCCGCTATTATATTTGACATGAAAAAGTATTGCGGTTGCAACATTGTATCTATTTGTATCCATTTCGGATACAGATGTTTTTATTTGGATACAAATAGATACAATGTTGCAACCGCAAGACTTTTTCATGTCAAATATAAGAGCGGACTGGAATTCTTCTGCTTCTTCTCCTTCTTCTTCTCCTTCTTCTTCCTCTTCCTCCTCTTCCTCTTCTTCTTCTTCCTTTTCTTCTTCTTCCTCTTCCTCTTCTTCTTCCTCTTCTTCTTCCTCTTCTTCTTCCTCTTCTTCCTCTTCTTCCTCTTCTTCCTCTTCTTCCTCTCAGATTTTTTTATCGGTAAAAAGATTGGCCGATTTGCCCATCATTGCCGGGAAAATCGGCCGATCGGCAAAATCGGCCGATTTTTTTTTCCAACTTCACCGATTAAAAAAAAAAATGTGCCAAAATCCCGAAAAACAGGTGACCAATTAACCCACTACTGGTGCGAAAATCTGCTGATTTTTTTTTTTTTTCCCGGACGATTTTGACCCATCTATGGCCTACGTAAGAAATTTTTTTATCTTCTAAATTTTCAGTCTTTTTTTCATTTGTTTTCAAAAAATAAACTCAGTGGTGATTAAATACCACCACTTCACCAGTGCTGCTTTATCAGCGCGCATAAGTGAAGAAGAAAAATTACTTATTCGCAAAATTTTATTGAAAAAACGTTTGTTTCACATTTTTCAGCCTTTTTTTTATTTGATTAGCAACAAAAAACTCCAGTGGTCATTAACCACTTGTCCTGAAGATTGCCCCCCCCCCCCCCAACCAGGCCATTCTTTGTGATACGGCGCTGAATTATTTTAACTGACAGTTGCACGGTCATGCGACGCTGTACATAAATTAAATTTATGTCTTATTTTTTACCCACACAAATAGAGCTTTCTTTTGGTGGTATTTGATCACCTCTGTATTTTTTTTATTTTTTGTGCTATAAATAAAAAAAAAGACTGAAAATTTTGAAAAACAAACACTATTTTTGACTTTTTGCTGTAAAACATATCCAATAAAAACTTTAAAAAATCAAAATTTCTTCATAAATTTAGGCCAAGATGTATTCTGCTACACTCCTTTGCTAAAATAAACTCCCAATATGTGTAAATTAATTGGTTTACGTGAAAGTTATAGTGTCTACAAATGGCGGTGTATATATTGCAATTTTTATTTACATTTTTTTTTATACTAGTAGCGGTGATCAGCGACTTATTGCGGGACTGCGGTGGGCATTCTGACACTGGGTGGGAACTTACTAACTGCCACTGAGATCCGCAGTGACACTAATACATTGATCAGTGCTAATAAAGAGCACTGACACTGTACTAATGCCACTGGCAGGAAGTGGTTAACGGAAAACCGCAAACTCAAATACTCCTGTGCTTGGGGATGGACTCGGCTAGGACTATGGCTACATCTCGGATGTCCCGGAATGTGCACTCCTTGCTGCCCTCATTGGACCGGGGTAGTCCAAATGCTCTGGATATAAAAAAACAAACATTATCGTAAAAAACATTTATTGAAATGCTAAAAAATAGGTATCATATTCACAATTGACATAGATGTCAAATACACATCACAAAGAACAGCACTGTCCAATCCACACTACATGTCCATCCGCAATGGGAACCTTGGACTTCCAACAGGCTAACGCATTTCGAGGGCTTTGCCTCTTCTTCAGAGCCACTGTTTTCTTTCTATCCAGAAAGTGGTTAACATCTGGGGTGGGAGGGAGATCAGAGAGTTGGGGGAGAAGTGGAGCTGGGCTTTAAATAAAGAGCAATGTGTAGCTCAACTGATTCTGCACTAGATTCTGATTGGTTGGTAGGAATCGGCTAAAAATTTGAATTTTCTGAGAAATAGAATGTAGAGATGAAGTAATACTGGAATTTCTTGTCAACAACCAGAGGTCACTTTATAAAAAATGAAAACCATTTTGACACTATTATTGTTAGGTTTTTTCTGTATATGTGTGTTTTTATTTCCCCAGAATGCCAAGGTTGAAGGCCACAAGAGTAAAGAGGAAAAAGACAAAAGTGCCCCCCCAGAGGCTTGCTGCAAAAAGAAAGAAAACACATTTACAGGTTTTATACCAACCTTTCTCAAATTGTTCAACACAGAGGAACCCTTGAAATAGCTCTCTGGTCTCAGGGAACCCCTGATCAAAATGACTATATCTACAACTCATGATATACAGTCAGGTCCATAAATATTGGGACATGGACACAATTCTAACATTTTTGGCTCTATACACCACCACAATGGATTTGAAATGAAACGAACAAGATGTGCTTTAACTGCAGACTGTCAGCTTTAATTTGAGGGATTTTACATCCAAATCAGGTGAACGGTGTAGGAATTACAACAGTTTGCATATGTGCCTGCCTCCCACTTGTTAATGGACCAAAAGTAATGGGACAGAATAATAATAATAATCATCATAAATCAAACTTTCACTTTTTAATACTTGGTTACAAATCCTTTGCAGTCAATTACAGTCTGAAGTCTGGAACACATAGACATCACCAGACGCTGGGTTTCATCCCTGGTGATGCTCTGCCAGGCCTCTACTGCAACTGTCTTCAGTTCCTGCTTGTTCTTGGGGCATTTTCTCTTCAGTTTTGTCTTCAGCAAGTGAAATGCATGCTCAATCGGATTCAGGTCAGGTGATTGACTTGGCCATTGCATAACATTCCACTTCTTTCCCTTAAAAAACTCTTTGGTTGCTTTTGCAGTATGCTTTGGGTCATTGTCCATCTGCACTGTGAAGCGGCGTCCAATGAGTTCTAAAGCATTTGGCTGAATATGAGCAGATAATATTCCCGAAACACTTCACAATTCATCCTGCTGCTTTTGTCAGCAGTCACATCATCAATAAATACAAGAGAACCAGTTCCATTGGCAGCCATACATGCCCACGCCATGACACTACCACCACCATGCTTCACTGATGAGGTGGTATGCTTAGGATCATGAGCAGTTCCTTTCCTTCTCCATACTCTTCTCTTCCCATCACTCTGGTACAAGTTGATCTTGGTCTCATCTGTCCATAGGATGTTGTTCCAGAACTGTGAAGGCTTTTTTAGATTTCGTTTGGCAAACTGTAATCTGGCCTTCCTGGTTTTGAGGCTCACCAATGATTTACATCTTGTGGTGAACCCTCTGTATTCACTCTGGTGAAGTCTCCTCTTGATTGTTGACTTTGACACACATACACCTACCTCCTGGAGAGTGTTCTTGATCTGGCCAACTGTTGTGAAGGATGTTTTCTTCACCAGGGAAAGAATTCTTCGCTCATCCACCACAGTTGTTTTCCGTGGTCTTCCGGGTCTTTTGGTGTTGCTGAGCTCACCGGTGCGTTCCTTCTTTTTAAGAATGTTCCAAACAGTTGTTTTGGCCACGCCTAATATTTTTGCAATCTCTCTGATGGGTTTGTTTTGTTTTTTCAGCCTAATGATGGCTTGCTTCACTGATAGTGACAGCTCTTTGGATCTCATCTTGAGAGTTGACAGCAACAGATTCCAAATGCAAATAGCACACTTGAAATGAACTCTGGACCTTTTATCTGCTCATTGTAATTGGGATAATGAGGGAATAACACACACCTGGCCATGGAACAGCTGAGAAGCCAATTGTCCCATTACTTTTGGTCCCTTAACAAGTGGGAGGCACATATGCAAACTGTTGTAATTCCTACACCGTTCACCTGATTTGGATGTAAATACCCTCAAATTAAAGCTGACAGTCTGCAGTTAAAGCACATCGTGTTCGTTTCATTTCAAATCCACTGTGGTGTATAGAGCCAAAAATGTTAGAATTGTGTCAATATCCCAATATTTATAGACCTGACTGTATTAGTGTGTGGGCAGCGGGAAGAATGCTCCTTCCACTTGTGGTCATTCCCCCTTTATAGATCACTAAAAAGATCAATGGTGTCAGTGAAAACCTATCTGAGAGGCAGAAATTGCCCATTGCTCAAAGAACCCCTAGCAATCCCTGGAGGAACCCTAGGTGGTTTAATGGAACTCTGCTTTAGAAACCCCGTTTTATACTGTGCCGTTTAAATGTTTGTATATGGACTGTTTTCATTGACAAATCTTATAGTAGTGTGGAGGCTAGATGTAAAGTGCAGACAATTAAAGCTGAACTTTTTGTTCAACTTACATTGGTCCAGCTTGGTTACATCTAGTTCTTCATATCTCACACTTGGAGGGCTGCTGGGGATTCAGAAATCCATTACAGTCAGAGATGGGCTCTGGGTGCTTCTCAAGCAACTTGCCACCTGTACACTGAACAGTACTGAACTGTACAGGGGATCACTCTCTCAGCACCTCTTACATGAAAATAATGGCCTGTATTTTTTTTAATGAATACAAGGTGTTCTCTGATTGGATGAGGCAGAAAGAAGGAACAGATGATGTCAACAACCTCTGCCTCATGTTATAAGAGTTAGTCTTGTTTTCATTGAAGAAACACAAGATGTTCTCTGAAGAAGTATGGAGGTTAGCAGTTCCCATGTAGATGGCAAGTCACTCAAGCATGACTTGGAAGAGGCCAGTGCTGAACCTGTTTAGCACAGGCTACTATGAATGTGAATGTGTACACATTTATTACAGGTACTTGTATAGCGCCATCAATTTTTGCAGCGCTTTTACATATCTATTGTATTCACATCAGTCCCTAACCCTCAAGGAGCGACAATCTAAGGTCCCTAACTTACATTCATACATACACATACTAGGCAGGCAATTTAGACAGGATCCAATTAACCTACCAGCATGTCTTTGGAATGGGAGAGGAAACCGGAGTACCCGGAGGAAACCCACACAGGCACAGAGAAAACATGCAAACTCCAGGCAGGTGGTGCTGTGGTTGGGATTCGAACCAGTGACCCTAGTACTGCCCCATGCATTTCTGGAAATATGTGCGCACACAAGCACAATGGCAATCAGTTGACTACAAACAGTGTCAATTGCCATAATGTGGGAAAGCTTGCCTTGTGAGGGCATTGTTTTGTCTGCTAGCTGTGAATAAGACGTATTCTATATGATAAACTTACTCTTGGTGGTTTTTAGCCCCCTACAGATTTTGAAGAGGTTGCTGTGTATTTCTCAGAGGAAGAATGGCGATATCTAAAAGTCGACCAAATGGAACTCTATCGACAAGTAATGATCGATAATTACCAAGCAATCCACTCTTTGGGTAGGTTGAATGAATTACTTTATAATAGCCACATAATCTGTCTAAAGAGTCAGGGATAAATGTTTGTCTTTAACAAAATTCTTTTGTCTAACCTCTTATATTAATTGATTAGCCTTAAGATGTTACTAAACCCACAACAGTAAAATCAGTCTGTATATGCAGTAAAGCATGCTTGTTCTACTCACTTTGGAACCTAAGGGTTAATCCTTTGCGTTGTGTAAAAAGGCTGTTTGATCATGACTTCTCTGATCCTCCCCTTCTTTCAGTGCTCCCCTCTTATCTCCTGATAAGACATATTGTGTGGAGTCACTCTGCACATGCTTAGTTGGTGTGTATTGCTGGAGAGGTTTTTTTTTTTTCTTGGAAGAGTGCATGTGATCAACACAGGGCCAGTCAGCACTGTCCATGCAAAGGTCAGGGGTTCTGCATCCTCCTAGAGCAGAATGATAACGCCTACAAGCTTTAACCAGTGCTCGGCTGGACACTGATAGAAATCACAAGACTGCTGTACCTGCGGATGAGAAAAAGTATTTAGCAGTTTCTCTTAACTAAAATAATTGCACTTCCATGTTCTGTGTACTGTGGGAGACCAGATATAGTGAATGCAGGGTCCAGGGTTAAGTAACACTTTAAAAAGTGGTAATGATTAGGGCATGGGTACTGTGCTTCTGAGAACTTTGACTGCCACTGTAGAAATGAGCATAATAATGTTATGCTATACATACACTTTTTGGGCATTTAGTCAAAACATTTTAACCACCTCAATACCGGACACTTTCACCCCTTTACTGCCAGGCCAATGTTCAGCTTTCAGTGATGTCAAACTTTGACAATTACTCAGCCATGCAACACTGTACCCATATGAATTTTTTATCTTTGTTTGGGGGACAGATAGAGCTTTCCTGTGGTGGTATTTAATCGGCACTGGGTTTTTAATTTTCTGCTAAAGATACGAAAAAAGACCGCAAATTTTGAGGGAAAAAAAAAAAAACAGTTTTCATTTATATTATAAAATTTTGCAAAAATAATCTTTCTTTATACATTTAGGCCAAAATGTATTCTGCTACATTTCTTTGGTGAAATAACCCAAATCAGTGTTTATTATTTATTAGGAGGAAAGTTGTACAAACTATGGTATATATCTAAAAATCTATAAATCCTGATGTACTGATGGCCAGTCTCATTTCTTGAGGCCCCAAAATGCCAGGACAGTACAACTACCCCCCAAATGACTACTTTTCAGAATAGACATTCTGAGGTATTTAGTAAAAGGCATGGCGAGTTTTTTTGAAGTTGGCTTTTTTTTAATCATTTTTACATACTGTCAACAGCGTCATCATATAACTGGTGTGGCGGTAATCAGGGACACTGACTGGTGACAGTATATGTGTAGTAAAAAAAAAAAGTTATTTTTCCCTTTTTTTTTTTTTTTTTCTTTTTTTTTACCTACTCCCACAGCATGTGATTGGCCACAGCTGATCACATGCTACAAATGGGCTGTGATTGGCCCATTCTGTACATGTGACTACTGTGACCAATCACAGCTCGCAGCACAGTTGTAAGCAATGAATGGCATGAAAGGAAACCATTCATTGTTTACAACTGTCATGTGATTTGCAGTGATTGGTCCCAGTGATCACATTACACTGGCAAGCAGGCTAGTGTAGTGATCTGTCATTGGCTGTGTCTGGTGGACACAGCCAGTGACAGATTGTGCCGGAGCACAACCCCTGGAGCGTGTGCGAGGCACGATCCTTGGAGGATGTCATATTGAGGGAACATATCTTCTTTAACCACTTGCCCTCCAGAGGATTTACATCCCCCCCATTCCTTACCAGGCTATTTTTTGCAATATGGCGCTGCGTTACTTTAACTGACAATTGCGCGGTCATGTAACTCTTCACCCAAATTAAATTTTATGTCCTTTTTTTTTTTTTTCTCAAATAGAGCTTTCTTTCGGTGGTATTTGATTGCTGGTGCATTTTTTTTTTTTTTTGCGCTATTAAACAAAAACAGACTGACAATTTTGAAGAAAAAACTATATTTTTGACATTTTGCTATAAAACCTATCCGGTAAAAAAAATTTCAAAAATCAAATTTCATCATAAATTTAGGCCAAATTGTATTCTGCGACATGTCTTTGCTAAAAAAAAAAAAAAAAAAAAAAAATCCCAATACGTGTACATTAATTGGTTTACATGAAAGTTAGTGTCTTCAAGCGGTGGTATATATACTGGAATTTTTTTTTTGTTATACTAGTAATGGCAGTGATCAGCGACTTATAGTGGGACTGCGGCGGTCATTCTGACACTGGGGGAGAAGTAACTGCTACTGACATCCCCAGTGACACCAATACAGTGATCAGTGCTAATAAAAAGCACTGGCACTGGGCAGGAAGGGGTTAACATTTGGGGCAAACTAACTGTGTGCTGTTTTACCATTTTGTCTGTGTGTGCTTTACTGTGTAAGCACGCTGCTTTGTATACAGAGCCATACAAAGCATCATTCTGGTGCTGACGGGAGAAATCTGTATTGTTTACATACAGACCTCTCCTCTGTCAGTGTTCCTCCGCGATCGCTGGGTGCCTGCAGGGAATCTCCGGCCGGGACCAGGTGATTGACATCTGTAGTTGCCAATAGCAGCGCGGGAAGGGCAGCACACACGCCCCCTACCCGGAAATAAAAAAAAATCACCTATATATACGTGATTTCGCGCAGCCCTGCCGGCCATGTAGCAGTACTTCTGCTGTAGGGTGGTGGGGAAGCGGTTACGTTTTATTGTGGCCTGTGTCCCGGCTGAGTAAATTCACTCCTCAATTCATTCTGGTGCCCATTGTCAGAGAGACACAAAGTAAGAAAAAAAACCCTATGTTTGTCAGGAGAGCCAAAGATAAGTGGAAATTTTTCAATGGGGATAATTATTCTGGTGTCAACTGTTTTAAGATGTTTTTTTTTTCTCTACTCTGGCAACATCTCCCCAGCAGGACACAAAAAAACTCCTACCTACTCTATACACCTCCTACTCTTCCCTACACTTTAAAGCAGGGCTGCTCGGCCTGTGGCCCGCAGAGCGTTCTAATGTGGCCCTCAACCTCAAACCAGGGAAGCGCATGCCTGGAGTTGGCTTGCCCAACCACCATCCCAGAGCATCAGAGTGCATCAGGCCCGCAGTGGAGGAAGCAAGTGACTGTGGAAAGCGCATGAGCCACATAAGCCGATGCTTCCTGTGTAGTGCCGGCTCCTGTCCCAGGCGGAGTGATACCAAGTTCACTTTGCCTGGGGCCCTTCTAGCAGCCTGGAGAGCGATGCCAGTAGAAGCTGGAAGAGGTAATAAAGGTCAGTGTATTAAACAACACTACACTTTTGCAATGGACATATTAGCACCTATAAAAGGGTTAAAACTATAAGGCTGCTTTCACACTGATCTGCGGCTGCAGCGCAGTTCACCTGCGGCTTTCTGTGGGTTAGCTGCACTGAGCCATACATTTCTATTATATCCTGCGGATTTGGTATACTTTCTGAAAGCGCACCAAATCTCCTGAATGCAGCAGTTTTGGTGCTGTTTCAGAAAGTGTACCACACCTGCAAGATTTAATAGACGTCTATGGCAAAGCGCAGCTAAGCCGCAGGTGTACTGCTCTGCAGTGCCCATCAATGCCGTCTGTCTTTGCCTTTAATGGGGGCTCAGGACACTAAGGGCTTGCTTACATTTGTGGTTTGGGGGTGGTAAAACCCCATAATTGAACCACTGGTGTGTCATCTGGAGTTGCAATGGCGACTCTGCCCCGTTCTCCAGGCGACCCATGTGGCCTGCTTGTCACATTCTGTTTTACACTTGGACTGGAGGGGCAGCAGGAATGGCATGTACAGGAGCTAATCCACTCCTGCAGCCACTGAAAGCTGGCTTCTCTTCTCCCTCCATTCAGCATCTGCAGGAAGAAAATGTTCATTATGCTATTGAAAATAATTCTGAACCAATTTATTTAATTGTGGCCTAAGACCGGTTACCAAATCCCTTAAGTGGCCTTTGTTCTTCAAAAGGTTGAACACCCCTGTAGTAGATCATAAGGGATGATGAGATGCTGCTAAAGCTCTGGGCGAGGCGAATAAGAAATTATTTTGCATTCCCTATTTTTGGACTCCGTCTTCAAAGCGCATTTAAGAGTTATCCTTTTTGTAAAAAAAATTCATCTTTGTGGTTTTCTCTTAGGATTCCACCAGCTTGAAAAGCCAACTTTAATATCAAAAATTGAACAAGATGAAGATCTATTTATTACAGAATTGAAAAAACATTCACAAGGTGAGTTTGCATGACATACATTAGTTACATGTTTTGTATTTATTTTCAAGGTAAACCCGTAACCCGTGTGAGCTCTAATGTTGCAGAGGAGGAAACAAATATGGTAGTCCTTTTCATCTGGTTTTTAGTCTGCAGGACTTACTTCCCTCTTCATTCCAGGATACCTTTAGTGCTGCTCATACCTAACATTTAACTTCACTTTCTAGAGCTGCCACTGATTCTTTTTGCCTGGAGTTCTTAAAAGTCACTCCTAATCCTGCATAAAAGTAAGGGCACTCCCTTCGAAGAGAAGTTTGGGTTTTAAAAGAAAATGAACATTGCTGTCTCTGTCCCCCTCTGGCTCTAAGACCGAGAACTGAGCGATCAAAGACCACTGATGTCTGAGTTCTCAGTCTTCAATGAGCAGAGAGCCGGTGACTGTCAGTCACTGGCTCTCTGTTCTGCCCTTCCAGTGCTCACTGGAGCACTAGGCTGTGGAGGGGGCTGCAGTGGCCTGCTTAGACTCTGTGGCTCGCTGAGAGGCTGAGCCAGCTGCTGGTCCAGGCATCTGGATGGATCCCAACTTTAAAGTCAGCCAGCCTGGACTAGCTGAATCACGTCAGACAACAGCGGGCTTTAGCCCACTGTTGGCTGAAACCGGGTCACAGGAGTGCAGAACGAACTGCACTCTTGTGATCCCCAGATGTATAGCCAAAATAGCTCTGTCTATGCTTCACGTTCAATATTTAATAGTAGTTGTAAAAAGTTTTAAGTTTTAATTAAAATGTTTTTTTTTTTTGTTTTTGCAACATTCAAGCTCTCTGCCCTCTAGCACTGGTTAATCTATCCTCCTCCTTTCTGAGCCAGGTTTGATCCACAAATACAACCATTATAAAGCTGGCCATAGATGGTGTTTTTTTTTTTTTTTTTTTTTTTTTTTTTTTTTTTTTTTATCAGCTGTTTGGCCACGTCCATGATTGACACAAGAAGTCTACTGCTTGATAGCTAATCTGTAATGTTATGTTTGGTGATATAACAATGTGGTCTAATAGGTTTCTTGGGCATTAGCTATGGGCTGGTCATTAGGAGGTATGTATGTAGCACTGTATGAGGGGGCAATAATTCTGTTTTTATAACCAAAATTTTATCTTTGAAACTGTTTTGTTGCAAAAGTAGATTATTTTAGCAGTAGCTGTATATTTGTAGACTATTTTTAGAGAGGTAACACTTAAAAGTCCCATTTCCGCTTTCTTTTTTTTCTTTGCAGACATAATGGTATGTTTGTCTACATGTTTAATATCAATCTTTATTTTCTTTATTGACTATGGCAGTAGATATTGTGTTTTTTGTGGTAATAAGTTAGTGTTGTCTTCTCAGCTACTTCCATGGTTACTAAGACATTTCTGTATTTGAGGTCTACTTTTTTTTGTTATTAAGCTGTGGTAAGAGGTACAATTAATTTTAGATAAAAAAAATCACGCTAATACTCTGGGCTAAACTTAGCACAATCTTACTAACTTAAGGTCTGCCCTATAGCAGTTTTACTGCTACATGGTGGACCTCCTGTGCAAAATCACGTATATATACATGTGATTTTGCACTTCCGCCTGTGGTGCTTTTGGGGTAATGAATTGGACGGTGTTGGACTCCCATATATAATTATGACACAGTGCCTCCAGCCGTTATGGCAAAATAACTTAATCAAAAATATTAAATAATGTAGACCGCTTAATAAATATATAATATTAAGAAGAATGTTCCCGTAATTTGTCATGGCACTTTATCGGATGCTGCGAATGGTGTTATTTCAGTCCATCATATCATATATCTCATATCTTTTTTGCACTCTGATATGTAGGCACATATTTTTAGTAAATCATGTGTTTTAATATCTACCCATAATCACAATCCATAGCATATGTCATTGGAAACTGGTTGATATTTGGTTAATACTTTATATGATTTTGTAGTTGTGAAATTGATGGGATTGTATCCTGTGACCATAAAATAAATATATGTATATGTATATATATATATATATATATATTTGCTTAACCCTCTAACAGCTGAGTATATTGCTTAGTTAAGGAGTTTGGTTCTCATGAATTGAATAATTTGACATCCTGTGTAAACACCTGAGGATTGTAAGTATAGCTGGATCTATTCATTCTTGAGAGAACCATTGTCTATGTGGCTCATTGGCAAACACTCAATTGATATCCCAGCAGATATTTAACTCTGTTGATGAGTGTTAAAGTTCCCCTCATGTCCATCCTAATTGTCCTGTTTAACAATTGTAAAAAGTGATTGGAAGCTTTACTTAGTTAATAAGGTTATTTGGGAAGAGCCATTCTCAAGGTCTCTTATTGTCTTTACAGGTTATTTCGCTCATAATCCAGGTACATAGATACCAATGCTTCACAATGAACATTTTATGACTTTTGGTCAACACTGGCCAGGTTATTTCTGGTCAGGGCTGTTTGGACCCATTTTTGTTTCTTCTCAATCCTGAGAGTTAAATAGGCCATTTAGATTCAGTCAACATAGTGTTTGGTTAACATCACCTTGTTCTTATGTGCACTTGGTCGGTCAACAATATTGAGCGTCTCTTGTTTAAACCACTTCCCGACCGGCCGTTGTATATAAACGGCCGGACGGTGGCACTGCAGGGTCGGATGGCCGTCTATAAACGGCCTCCCCGCACCCTGCTTGTGCGCGCTCCCTGGGAGCGCGCGCAGCACCGCGATCCGGTGCCCGCTGTGTCCTCCGAACACAGTGAAACACCGATCGTCGGACGGGACCTCTGTACGAGGTCCCGATCATGTGATCACTGATTGGCCAATCAGTGATCACATGCAAAGTAGTAAGCAAGATGTCACTTCTGACATCATTGCTTACGATGTGTGAAATCTGTGAATGATCACAGAGGTCACATGGTACAAGGCTATTCACAAAAGCCTTGTACCATGTGACAAGCTATGACCAATCACAGCTCACTCGGTTCTTTTCAATGAGTGCAAGAATGCACACAGAGAGAAAGAGAAATGATTGCTTTTATATCCTATATGGGTGTAAAAGCAATCAGTGTAAAAAAAAAAATCTTCATCACCCCTCACAAGTAGTACAGTGTCACCATGGTGACACTGTACTGCTAGGGTGACAGTATGTAAAAAAAAAAATAATATAAAAAAATAATATAAAAAAATAATATAAAAAAGTAAATAAAAATGTTTAAAAATTATAATTTTTGCTTATAAACTAATTTGGATTTTTTTTTTTTTTTTACTAAAAAGATAACGGAATAAATTTTGGCTAAGATTTATGATGAAATATTATTTATTTGCAAAATTTTATAAAAAAAACACTTTTTTTTCAAATTTTTTGGACATTTCATTTACATAGCAAAAAAAATACAAATCCCAGTGGTGAATAAATATCACCAAAATAAAGCTTTATCTATCTCAAAAAAATGGTAAAAAATTCATTTGGGTACAGTGTTGCATGACCGCGCAATTGTCATTCAAAGTGTGATAGCGCTAAAAGCTGAAAATTGCCCTGGTCAGGAAGGGGGTAAAAGTGTCCGGTCTGGAAGTGGTTAAATGGTCTATTGTAAAGAAAAGACACTTAGTTTCTGGAGAAACTGCTGGTGTTTTTTTTTGTTTTTTTTTTTTAAAGTCTCGAGTGATATTTTGCGGCAACATATGGATTTTTATGTTTCAAGATCATAACACGCCATAGGGGTCATGCTTGCGCTGCCAGCAGATCACTTCTGCTGTGAACACTCACAGCAAAAGCCTATCTGCGAGCGCCGGTGAAAGGATGTCCGTCGGCGATCGTCGGGCAGGTCACAGAACAGAGGCAGAGCTCTGTTCTGGGGGGGGGGTGCATCCCTGCAAAGCTGGGAACAAGATCCTTCACTTCCTCTAGTAAAAGCACCACCCAGTGTACACCAAGCACATAGCTAGGCACATAGTTAACCCTTTGATCACCCTAGGTGTATAACCCCTTCCATGTCATTAGTACAGTGTCAGTGCATATTTTTAGACCTGATCACTGTATTCGTGTCACCGGTTCCCACAAAATGTCAGTGTAAAAATGTCTTCTGCAATATTGCAGCCCCGCTATAAGCCACTGATCGCTTTTTTTTACTAGTATTAAAAAAACTTTAAAATTCCAGTATATGTCCCATAGTTTGTAGACGCTATAACTTTTGCACAAACTAATCAAAATACGCTTATTGGGATTTTTTTTTTTCATGCAAAATATGTAGCAGAAGCCATGTTGGCCTATATTTATGAAGAAATTAAATTTTTACATTTTTTTTTATTGGATATGTTTTATAGTAGAAGATAAAAAAAATTGTCTTTTTTTTTTTTTTGTTTAACGCAAAAAATAAAAAATGCAGAGGTGATCAAGTGCCACCAAAAAACGACTTGCATTTCATTTATGTACAGTGTTGCATGACTGTGCAAATGTCAGTTAAAATAACGCAGCACCATACCGCAAAAAATGGCCTGGTCTGGTTAACAAAAGAGCAGGCCCTGCACATTGTGTATTTTTTTTTAATTAATTATTTTTTAATGGTTGGTAAGGTTGAATACCAGTCCAAATTGTTGAACGTGTGTGTTTGTATCACTACCATTTTCTGTGTCTCTGTACATTGAAACACATCTAAAAGTTTATTTTAATTTATTTACACTCTCTGCTGATACCATCAACTGGAAAGGAGTTCCAAACCGTCACCGCCCTTCTCATCCTACTTCATTGTGTTGCCACATGTCTTCTTTAGAGACCTTTAGGGTAAATAGTTTTCTCCCAAGACTAAAATCACCTTTCAAAGATTTGTATTTTGCAATCTTTTCCCATCTTCTCCAGGGAGAATAAGTTTGTAGCTGTTCCTCATAACTGAGGTCTTTCAGCCCTCGTATTAGCTTTGTTGCCCTTCTTTTTACTCTCTCCAGTTCAAGCACCTCCTTCATGAGGATTGGTGACCAAAACTGTGCCATGTACTCAAGATGTGGCCGAACCAGAGTTTTGTAAAGTGGTAGAATTCTAGTCTTATCTCTTGAATAAATACCCATTTTAATGCAAATGGGTATTGCATATTATTGCTGAATCTGTCATCTACTGAGATCCCCAGATCCTTTTCCATCTTGCATTTATATTTTTGGCTCCCAAATGCATTACTTGACATTTTGATAGGTAAATGGCAATATTTTTGTTTTTTTCCCAAAAGCACATTTTAATATTTAAAATGAATAAAAATGTGCAGATTTTTATTAATGTCTACTTTTTGTATTAAAGGATAAGTTCACCCATATTCAGGATGTAACATGTTATGAATGTACTAGTCCCCTCTCCTCCACTTTGACAGCTACCGGTGGATCTTGTCCCCCCTCTCTAGCTGTCAAATTTAACCACTTTCCCCGCCGCCCTATAGCAGAAGTACTGCTACACGGTGGCAGGGTTGCGCAAAATCACGTGCATATATATATGTGATTTGCATTTCCAGGTAGGGGGCACGTGCGCTGCCCTACCCATACTGCTATTGGCGGCTAGGGATGTCAATCACTGGGTCCGAACCGGCTGCCACTCAGTAATTGTCAGATAAAGCTGACAGGGAGAGACCTGTGTGTAAACATGTTCAGCATGGACATGCTGTTTTGTATTTCTCTTCACAGCACAGAGATATAAAACAGCAAGGCGCCCTAGTAAAAAAACACACACAAAACACGGTTAACCCTTTGATCGCCCAGATGTTAACCCCTTCCTGCCCAGTGCCATTAGTACAGTGTCAGTGTTTTTTTTATTAGCACTGATCACTTTTAGTGTCACTGGGGATGTCAGTGGCAGTTCCCACCCATTACTAGTTTAAAAAAAAAAATCTCCAGTGTATATATACTGCCATTTGTATACACCAAAACGTTCATGTAAACCAAATAATTTACACGTATTGAGATTTTTTTTTTTTGTAGCAAAGACATGTAGCAGAATACATTTTGGTCTATATATTTTTTTCAAAATGGTCGGTCTTTTTTTGTTTATAGCGCAAAAAAAAATAAAAACCCACAGAGGTGATCAAATACCACCAAAAGAAAGCTGTTTTTGTGGGAAAAAAAGGACGTAAATTTAATTTATGTACAGCGTTGCATGACCGTGCAATTGTCAGTTAAAGTAACGCAGCACTGTATTGCCTGTTCAGGAAGGTGGGTATATCCTCTGGATAGAAGTGGTTAAAAAAATGCGGCTGTGTTCTGTGAATGAGAAACTACAAATCCCAACAGCTTTAGCGGTTGCTGGCTTGTAGTTCACAATGGCGCTGTGGAATGCCGTGGTAGTTCATTGAGTCTTCTTGTCAGTATATCTGCTTGCACGTATATCCTGTACAGGCAAGCAGATATACTGACAGATCTTCAGAAAACCTGCTTTGGCATCAGCGATCTGCTGATCGCTGGGGCAGTGCTTTGCAGGCTCCTGCAACAAAATGTAATAAGTGAACATTTTTTTACTTGCAAAAAAAGGTGTATTTATTATTTTTTGTAAAACGGTGAACTTATTCTTTAAGGCAGAGCTTTACCCCCATCATCAACTTTACATTATAAAGAAAGAAAAAAGGTGTGAATTTTTAGGCACCAATCGACAACACAGTTAAAATAAAAAAAAATGCAGTATTTTAATAAAGATTCTCCATCTGAAGATATTTTGTCAGATGGAACTCAACCAATTCAGTCAATAAGTGATATAAAAATGTAGATTGGTCCATAGATTCCTAGATTGTAAGCTCGAAAGAGCAGGGCCCTCAATCCCCTCATGTTTTGAATTGTTTTGTTATTGTTCTGTCCCCCTTTGTAATGTACAGCACTGAGCGAACTATCGGCGCTTTATAAATACTGAATAATAATAATAATAATATATGTGTTATATGTACAATTTCTCTTTAAACTTTGGTGAATAAAATACTGCATTTTTTATTTTAGCTGTGTTGTTGATTGGTGCCTAGAAAATCCCACCCTTTTATTATGTATATTTTTGGGATGTGGTATCTGTAAACTGTTGGTAGTCATGGATTAGCATTTCTCACAACTTTACAATAAAATCAACATCTTATCCATTTATTTACATTTCTAGTTGCAATTTTTATTCAAATGCAACATATACTGTTTGTGATTTTCTGTACTATTCGTATGTATGTGTACTTTTATTATACAGTATTTATATAGCGCCAAAGGGTATGCTCAGCGCTGTACAGTAGCAAGGGGGACAGAACATGAGACAAGACAGTAACAATACACTACACGAGGGGTTTGAGGGCCCTGCTCTTTCGAGCTTACAATCTAGGAGGGAGGGGAAGGTGGTACAGGAGGAGATGGCTGTGGGGGATGGAGTGGTGGGAGGAGTGGAGGAGGATAGTTGTTAGGTGAGGTCGGGTGTTAGGTGAGGTTGGGGTAGGCTTCCCTGAAGAGGAGGGTTTTCAGGGTGCGCCTGAAGGTGAGGAGGGTAGGTGACAGTCTGATGGATTGGGGTAGGGAGTGCCTCAACATCCTGCAATAAAAGACTATGCTTGCCCTTTATCAAGGTATTACTTTTTGTCCATTTTTGCTTAAATTTGGAATAATACAATTTTTCATTGGCCAGATACTCACTTTGTATTCCTTTTGTAGATGCCCCCAGCTTTAACACAGAAGTGCTCCATGTATCCCAGTTAACATCTAAAGAACGGACAGTGGAAGATATTTATTTAACGGGTAATCGGAAAAACCGTATAAAACCTTCTTCTAATGAAAATGGGAGTCTACCCCCCAGACATAAGTACAACTTCCGCGATCGAGCTGCAGTGGCGTACACTATGTTTTATGATGATGAAGCAGAAGTGAGAGAACATAAACCTCACCAGAGCTTGCAGAGGAAGTCAGTCTATGACAAAATTATAGGTGCCCCCAGATTCAAAACCAAAGGAGTAAATACATCTCTGTTCACACCTAAAAAATTGAAGGTGGAAGTAGTACACTTCACAGGTGATCTAAAAAACAGTATAAAAACATCCTCTAATGAAAATGGGAGTCTGCCCACCAAGCATCAGCACAAATCCCGAGTGAAAGCTGCAGTGCAGTGCACCTCTTATGAAGGTAAAATGAGTGAACTTAAACCTCGCAAAAGCTTGAAGAGGAAGTCAAGCTATGACAAAATTGTAGGTGTCCCTAGACTCAACACAGAAGAGTTACATACGTCTTTTTTAAAATCTGAAATATTGACAGAGGAAAAAGTACACTTAACAGGAGACCTAGAAAAAGCTACAAAAACGTCCTCTAATAAAAATGGGAGTCTGCCCCCTAAACGTCAGCACAAATTTCGAGACAAATCTGCAGTGCAGTGCACCTTGTCTTTTGAAGATAAAGTAAGGGAACGTAAACCTCGCAAGAGCTTGCGGAGGAAGTCAAGCCTTGACAAAATTATAGATGTGCCCAACACAGAAGAGCTACATACATCTTTTTTAAAACATGAGATATTGACAGAGAAAAAGTACACTTCCCAGGGGATCTAGAAAACAGCACAAAAACCTCCTCTATTAAACATGGGAGTCTGCCCCTCAAGCGTCAGTATAACTTCCGTGACAGAGGTGCGGTGGAGTACAGCATGTTTTATGATGATGAAGTTGAAGTGAGAGAACTTAAACCTCACAAAAGTTTGCAAAAGAGTTCAAGCTATGAAAAAATCCAACCAAAGTGTGGCCGTTACAGTTGTACTGAATGTGGTAAAAGCTTTAGTCAAAAACAAACGCTAGTGAAACATCAGATGGTCCATACTGGCATTTCCATCTATGTTTGTTCAAAGTGTGATAAGTGTTTCACTCAACGTTGTAGTCTCAAGAGACATGAGAGATCTCATGCGGTGGAGAGACCCTGTGTCTGTTCTTACTGTGGTAAAGGCTTTACTGAATCTTCATCATTACATAAGCATCAGAGAGTTCACACTGGTTTTAAGCCATTTGAATGTTCGGAATGTGGCAGGACCTTCAGCATAAGTACCTACCTTATTGTCCACCAGAGAACTCACACCGGAGAGAAGCCCTATGTATGTGGAGACTGCGGGAAAAGCTTTACTCAAAGTTCCCATCTCATTACACACCAGAGAATTCATACAGGCATTAGACCGTATGCTTGCATAGAATGCGGGAAGGGCTTTTCTACTAGTTCCCACCTTATTACTCACCAGAGAACTCACACAGGAGAACGTCCTTACCCATGTGGGGAGTGTGGGATGGCCTTCAAGCATAGTACCCATCTTGTTTTACATAAACGCAAGCACACTGGTGAGCGGCCGTACAGCTGTCCTAAATGTCCACGGACTTTTTCCCAGAGACCTCAGCTTCTAAATCACCAAAAAAAACGTCATGCATATGAATAGTCCTAGCATTATACTGTTCTCTATTGTCTAATTTTGAATTGCTTCCTATTTATCTTTGTAATATACAGCAGAAAAAAATAAATGGCAAAGAACAAAACAAGACTGCATTCTCCCTTGGTCCCACAACAAAACCTTATTATAGGACTATGCAGGAAAACAAGGAGGCAGCATTAAAAATATCATATATTTGAGAAGGTTTCAGAATATATATTTTGTTTAATTATTATCCGTTAACATATTATCTCTGTCTTTTTTTATATTATTATCACTTAAAAGGTTTTCATTGTCTAACAAAAGCAAAAAAAGTGCTCTAACCACCCTGCTGTCCTGATATTAAAAAAAAAAGTGAACTGATTTTACAGAGAAGATGATGTGAACTAATGAAAATGTATTATACTAGAAATACTGTATGTGGTCATCCATTGCTGACTTTCTTTCTAAAATGCAGGTTGCCTATCATACGAATGATCTGGCTTCCAAATTTTACACACTGGCCTATATAACAAAAACAAGAATCATTGTTTCTAAAGATATGGTATCACAAATTTAAATACGCTCACCTAAAGTAGTTGCTGGAAGCAGCAACATCTGGTGCACCAAGATTTAAACCTATAATAGGTATTTATTGTTACCCACATATAGAGAGCACCACAGTGTCATAGTCCTGATTAAAACTTTTCCCATCAAAAAATAATGTGTAGACAGAGAATTGCTTCCCTAAGCATATTCAAGTATTATGCATTGACCTGACACAAGCATAGAGATGATTTGACTTGTTTGGGTTTCATTCATGGCAGTGTGTGAAATTTAAGCTGGCCAGAAACTGATTGAAGTTCAGCAGGGAACTGGCTGAATTTCGATCCATGTATGGGCAGGCTGGTTGTACTGAAGTTGATTGCTCAATTGACTTCAGCGCAACCAGCCAGTTGGCGACTATAGTACTCAGCAGTGATAATTGTATTCTGGCCACTGGGAAATCTCCTGCTGTCCAAATACAAAAGCCCAGCGAATCAAGCAATTTTCTTTCCTGCAAAGTACAGGGATAAGAAAGGTAGAGGTAAGGAGTAGCATCTCCAATTCTTGGTATCCCTGTTTTTGTTAAACAAGAAAAGAGAGAGAGGAGCACACACCCCACCCCATAGTGTAGCATGCATAAGGAAGTTTTAATGGTCAAAATGAAATCAATAGTTGTTCTCACAAACAACGGTGGGGTATAGAGGCTTGTAAGGTGGGTTGAAGGATAAGTCTCGAGTCCGTGTATGAGTTATAAAAGATCCCCACCTTGGCCACTGACTGGGGAAGGCATGGGCTGAAGTTTAAATGACACTGCTGGCAGAGATGGATAAAGCCATTGCAAGGTCTAGAGTGAAAGAGATGAAAGCCTTCTGCTGTCACCGTTGTGCACCCCAATATACAGGGATGCATTTCGAAGTGATTCTGCTTTATCAACCGCGTCCCTGTATATTGGGGTGCACAGTGATAGCAGGAGGCTTTCGGCTCATGGACTCCAGACCTTGCAGCAGCTCCATTCATCCCTGCCGGTAGTGCTATTTCAACTTCAGCCCATGTTTTCCCCAGCCAATGGCCAAGGGGAGGATCTGGGATAACTCATACACTATGGACTTATCCTCCGAGCCACCTGACAAGCCTCAATACCCCACAGTTGTTTGTGAGTACAACCATTGATTTTATTTTATCCATTAAACTTCCTCATGCGTGCTACTTTATGGGGTGTGCGCCCCTATCTCTCCTTTCTCATTTTACATAAGTTTGCAGCACCTGCTTAGTTACAACAGCTTTTGGACTGTTTTTAATCTGGGCTATCTGTTTTTAGATAGTAGAATTATTATATCCATATTGCTTTTTCACTGTTTGTATGTTTTTATCATTTATTAGATTGATTTTGTGCTCTTGGATTGATTTATTTATACTCAGCCCCAATTTGAGGATTGCATTGTTTTTCGGCAGTCATACAATCCTAATCAGGCTGTGACAAGCACTCAGCTAGTGGAGAGCCTTATTGGGCTCATCACACCTATTTTAAACTATAGGTGACCTGTTCCAGGGAAGTGAGAGCAGTTTGTTACATAGGTTTACCTGTGACACTATCCATGTTGGCTTTCCTCCCATCCCTAGTTTGTTACATCTGATCCCCAGGCACATCTTAACCCCCCTCTTCGCCTCCTTCTAACACATTCTTTTTTTTTTTTTTTCTTACCTTGTGAGCCAAGATATACGCGCCTAAGTCCACTGACCGGGTTCCTTTGCTGTTGCTATTTTTGGATGCAGAGAACCGCTAATCCAGCACTGTAGATATGACCCATACAGTCCCCTTGTGCACATATCATGGCTGCAGGCTGTCCATCTTGATTCTGAAAGACCCTGTCACTGCACAGCCAATGGGAAGTGTCCACATCACGGTGGCAGTGATCTGAACACTTGACGTTCCCTGCCTCCTGTAAACAGGAGACGAGAGAAAATTTGGGCATGATGCCCTGCCACATTCACAAGTCGGCAATGTGCACTAAGACGGGGTGGGTACTTTAAAAAATATTTAAGTAAAATCAGTAAGAATAATAGCAGAAGACAATTTGGAGATTCATTAAAGCATTAGCTCTACTTTTCTAAAATTGCCCTTTAAAATGTCGCTGCACCAGATTCAAAAAGTCTTGGTGCCAATTTCAGTAGCATTACCAAAACTTGCAGCAGATTCAGATTGTTCTTATAGTGTGCAATATCACTTCAGTTCAATACACCAAAAATATGTAACACAATATTACAATAAAAAAAGGTGCTGCAAACATAAAATATACACCACTGTGAAAGCCCATGTGACAAGATATAAAGTGAAGTGTGTAACTCCTGTGCTACCTTAAAAATGAGTGTGCATGAGATAAAAGTGAATAAAACTTGCCTTAAAGTGTCTACAGCTGCTGCTAGTATCAAACTGTTCCCACAGAAATATGAACTCTATATTAGTGCAAAGTGCAATACTATCAAAGTTTTAATGCGTATATGCCACTAGTAATAACACATATTAAGCATATTGTTTATCCCCTTGTTGACACAAAAAAAAATCCAAAAACATAAAACGTGCTAAAACGCAATAAATTGATAAATATAACGTGTTAAATAAATCAGTTCATATAGTCCACACTGATATTAGAATCATAAATCTCTTGTTGATAGTGGTCATCCAACACCCAAATCATAATCACTGTGCTTTTTAACTTCACACAATAAAGTGCTACCTCTGTGCTCAAAGAACTTTCACCTCCAGATTGGTATCATATCGCATGTATATAATACTTTAAGCCTCCTTCACCTTTAGAACACTAGGGACTTTCCACTCATGTTTCCCAGTGTTCCAATATAAAGGGGTATAGTCCCTTTTAAGGCTCTCATGGATTCATGTTATCGCATTGACCTTGCCCATATGGGGGGGGAGAGATATGCCTCTTATAGTGCAGTATGTTAAAAACGTATTCATTTATTATAATAATATTGCACTTACACTATAAAACTTAATAAAATCACTTAAGAAATAGAGATCTCCGATTTTCTCTTCCATTTGCCGTCACCTCCAGTCCACGTCTGCCTCCGCTCACGCCCTATGCATTACGTCACAGTCATGTGACTTCATCACACAGAGATGAATACGTTGTTGACAGAGGGAAATACCCATAAGGAAATAAATAGGGATACCACTGTGGGCTTCAAACATGAGTTAGGATCTTTGGTTGAACATGGTTATAAGACAGGAGTGTTACCGAGATAAGAAAAGAGATGTTTGGTTCTGAGTGCAAAATACATAAAACCGCCAGTCTTCCCCTGACCATCCCATTGTTAATGACATTGGGTCGGTCTCCACAAGATAGGGGAATATCTTAAAAATGTCTTCAATCGAATGTCCTGAACACTGTGCATAAATCCTCATGGGACTTTTTCGGCAGATACACCAAAATTATACAGTGGGGAAAATAATTACTTGAACCCCTGCGGATTTTGTAAGTTTGCCCACTTACAAACAAAGGAAGAGTCTACCACTTTTATCATAAGTGTATTTTAAATGATAGAGACAAAACATGAACCAAAAATCCAGAAAAAAACACGATGCAAATGTTATGAATGGAGATGCAGTTCAGTGAGTAAATAAGTATTTGATCCCCAAGCAAAAAATGACCTAGTCCTTGGTGAAGAAACCCTTTTTGGCAAGCACAGAGGTAAGATGTTTCTTGTAGTTGGTTACCAGATTTGCACACATCTCAGGAGGGATTTTGGTCCACTCTTCTTTACAGATATTCTCTAAATCCTTAAGGTTTCTTGGCAACTCGAAGTTTCAGCTCCCTCCATCAATTTTCTATAGTATTTAGGGCTGGAGACTGTCTAGGCCAATCTGACCTTTTAATGTGCTGCTTCTTGAGCTACTCATTTGTTGCGTTGGTGGTATTTTTTCGTTTATTCCCATGCTGGAAGACCCATCCACGACCCTTCTTCAGTGTTCTGGCTGAGGAAAGAAGGTTCTCATCTAAGATTTTACAATACATGGCCCCATCCATTGGCCCCTCAATGCGGCAAAGTTGGCCTGTACCTTTAGCAGAGAAAAAGCCGCAAAGCATAATGCTTCCACCTCCGTGCTTGACTGTAGAGATGGTGTTCAGCATTTTTCTTCCTCCAAACACGGCAAATCAAGTTAATGCCAAAGAGTTCAATTTTGGTCTCATCTGACCACAGCACCTTCTCCCAATCACGTAGATGTTCATTGGCAAACTTCAGATGGGCATGTTAATATGCCTTCTTGAGGAGGAGGGCGCTGCAGGATTTCAGTGCATGACGGCAATTGTGTTAACAATGGTTTTTTTGGTGACTCTGGTCCCAACTGCCTTGAGATCATTCACAAGCTCCTCCCATGTAGTTCTGTGCTGATTCCTCACTTTTCTCATAATTATCCTTACCCCACGAGGCGAAATCTTGCATGGAGCTCCAGACCGAGAACAATT